GGCAGGAAAGACCTTAGAGTTAGGAAGCATCACAGAGGCTGGCAGGAAGTCAAAACAAGTTCTAACAAGAGCAGGGAAAATCTGATAGGTCTTGCAGACCTAGCTGCAATGTCCTGGTGTCATGACTCTCTCAGCCTTGTGGGCTGCTGAACTAAAGTTTCCTTCATTTTTCTTCCTATTCTGCTTCCTCTAAACAAATATCAGAGGAAGCAGACAGTGATGTTTGCTGTGTTGTAGTTGCTTCAGTGACTTTTGGCATAAAGGTACTGTGGAGAGCACCCAGCAACATGAACATTATGCATAGGCCTCTATTTTATGTCCACAGATACATCAGCTTTTAATCAAAGCTTTACAACAGTTACTTGAAAACTTCCTGGCAGTTGCACTAACATCCTACATCCATGCATGACAACATGAGACTTTTATTTTTACAGAAATGTATTGAAGAAAAGCCAAGTGGAAAATACAGTACTGAGTACATCCACGTTCGAAGCGGTAGTTGGGACGGGCCAGGAGACAAGTAATCATCTTGATGGGTGGGGAGTGAGAGTCAGAAATTACTTATTTTTTCTCTGTTCTCATTTTGGAGGAAGGGAAGATATAAGGAAACTTCAGCTACCCCTGAGAACAGTAAGTGGGGTTGACCTTGCTGTTCTCTTTCCCCATTCACAAATTCCACCTGAGATACAAACCTTTTCCTCAAAACTACAGAATAAGTCCCTCTACTGAGGGTGGATTTGCTGGAAAGCCCCTGAATTTTACCAAGGCATATCCGGGATGCTTCCAAGCCACAGATCCCAGTTATTACAATTAGCCTGCTTCCATTCAGATTCAGTTATGCAAAACATTAATTCTGATGAGGAAGTGATTTTTAAAGCTGTAAGCACCTTGCATGAACACAAACATGCCTAAGCACAGACAGACTGAACAGATACAGTGCTATTGGCAGAGATCTGCCAGACAGAGCAAAGTCACATTTACTCAGCCTCTCCATGATATCAAGCAGCACAATCTTGAAAGTAGATATGTCTGTAACTGGATCAAAGAACTCATGTTTGTTCCATTAGATAGTTTTCAGTCTTAGTGCAAATGAGAACTGGCCATAAGCTGAGTAGTTGGCTTACCATTAGGCTTTATGGGACTCTTAACTTTGAAATCATGCAGAGACAGCAGCAGGGTTTCATGTGGGTACAGTTGTCTGCAATTGACAACACTCTGCAGGAACAGGGCTTTTCTTTCAGAGCTGCCTAAGAAAATAATAAAAGAGAAAAATGCACTCCCTTTTTATAGAAAAAAAAACCACACATTTCTAGTCCCTTTTAAACAAAATTCCACAAATGGCTAGTACTGCTACATTCACCACTACATGGAAATTTAATAGTGAGAGTAGATAAAAGTAGATAGCTGTTTTTTTCAGAGATTAAAAAAAGGATGAAAATAAATTCAAACCCTTGGGTTATTTTTTGAGAGCTTATGTTCAAATGTTAGGAATCTGACACACTAAAATATTTGTGTTTAAAAAAATGAGTAAAACCCACATGAGCATACACTCTGTGTAAAGTGTAAACTGAAAAAAGTTACTAGTCTTTCTAGTATACTCTTGTACTACTGTATCAAGTAAATCTTATGCAGAACAGTTCAAAGCCTGATTACTATTTGCATTCCTGTCTATCCTTAGAGGTCCCACCAACAGAGCTAATGGTAAGAAATTTCAACTAAGGAGAGTAAAGATGTTAAGGCAAAGTCACTCAGTGCCCAGTTCCTACCTCAAGAATTCTGTGACTCTTAGCGTGGACAAAAAGATATGTTTTACCTTAAGGTAACTAACACTGAAATTACACAGAAATCCCAAAACAAAAAAATCACAAAATCTTTAAAGTAATGTCATCCTATTTAACACCCAGTAAAACTGCCCGGTGTTTATCAAGGTAATTTGGCTACTTCAAAGTAAAATGTGTATCTATTTTTTTCACGTAATTCTAAAGTAGGAACTGTAATTTCACCAGAAACAAGAGCAGTCACTGCACTTCTCACGCCCACCTTCAAAATTTTGCTGATTGCTGCCTTGGGACAATGCTGTATTTCAGAATGGGACACACTGGTAGGAAAGGTAATCTAAAAACAGAACTAAACCCCATGGCAGAAGGAAGAGGCTGTCAAATTTACTTGGATCCCTCTTCAAGCACAACATATAAAATATTCTGAGGAGATATTCTTTAGCCCTATGTAGAAGCCATAATTTTAAAGCCATGCCTACACTTAAGAGTTCCTCAGTGAGCTTTCTGGGATAACCTATCACAGATGAGGTTTCTGTTTGTTTTATTAAGTTCCTCTAACACCACCACAATTAATCTGAATATAATAATGCTTTACAGTGCAAGAAATGGTGTCCTTGGAGCTATGAAGTAAACTTAATAGTACAAGTTAGTTGTATTGCTGGGCACTCTGCATTTCTGTGGAACTACCTTTTTTCACCATTCCTAAGACAGAATTCGAGGTTGATAGTTAGGTGTTCTCAAGAGCAATTTTCAGGAGCTTATAAACCAAAGCAAGTGGAGAACTTCTGAATTATGTTGAAAGCCAAAGGAAAACAGAGAGGAGATTATTAAAAAAACAAAATTAAATCTTTTCATAAGACTAGCAGTGGGCTTTCCAACATAGTAACAATGGTAACAAATTTGAAGAGCAGGATTTTGTTCCATGAACACCATATTCTCAGCAAACAGACTGTAAACCTTTAGCTTGTATGTTTGCCTCTGCATTTGGTTTATGTTAGAAAAAAGGTAGAGCTGGCAAAGGTATTAGGGTTATATTAAGCAACTTTTGGCTCTTCTGGCCTCAGGAATTAAGTATTACCCCAGACAATTCAGATTTCATAGGAAAGACATTATGCTGATAACTAACATTTATTATAGGCAGAGTAGAAAATCAATGAGGAGACAAAATATAAGTAGTATTTTCTTTTGTATACAGATACTTTCAAAAGCAATGTACCATCCTAACTGAGCTCCAACTGGAGCTAAAAATACTGCATTATTTTTCACAAGGATTTTCAAGTTGAAATAGACAAGAAAGCTATATTTGTCCCCTCTTGTCTCACTACCATTTCTGACTGTTATTCTTGCCAGCTCTGTGGTCACCCACCTCATATTCCATTAAAAATGAAATTTAAAATAGCGGACTCCAAAATGGCAATTCCCTCCTGCTGCCACTCCTCCCCTTTCCCACAAAGAAGTCTACTTTTTTGAGTAACACTGAAAGGAGGCAAAGTGCCAGAATATAACTGAAACTCCTGTCAGGCTTCTTTCACAGTCCTCTCACACAACCTGGGCCACAGAAAACTATTTACAACCTTCTAAACAGTTTCTCAATTCTGAAGAAAAAAAAAATAAGGAAAGAAAAAGGTAGTTCCAGTGAGTTTGGGGGAGGGGGAGGGGAAGCCACACCCCAGGACTGCAACACCTCGAGCATCAGACGTCCCCCAGACTCTGTGCTCGCTAACAGATTTCACACCCAACCACCACCCCCCGAGGGCAACGGCCTGCCCCGGGCTCCCCTGCACGCACTGCCGCGGGGAGAGGCAAAGGGAGGACGGGAAGACAGAGAGATAGACAGAAAGTGGGGGAACAAAACAAACAAACAAAAAAGGAAGCGTGGAGAGGTAAAAGCAGATCAAAAAGGCAGAAGGAAAACGGGGAGAAAAGGGAAAAGACTGGAAAAACAAAATAATTACAACCAAAGAGAAAAGGAGAGAGAGGAGAGGGGGATAAAGGGAGAGAAAAGGAGGGGGAAAGCGGGGAAAGAGGGAAGAGGGGGGAAGGGGGGTAAAGAAAGAAAAAAGGGGAAAAAAGAGAGAAGGGGAGGGAAGGTTTGGGGAGGGAAGAGGGAGGAAAGAGGAGAAAAATAAGGAGAGAGGCACAAAAATGCGCCTCCCTGGGCTCCAGTGCCGCACCTGCCCGATGGTCCTGCCGCTCCTGGAGTTGCGCTGCTCCGCTCCGAAGGGTAAGGCGCCCGGGAAGAGCGATGCGCCAGCCCGGCAGAGCCGCCACCCGCTCTGGGGCCACGCCGTTCCCGGTCCGGCGGCAGTGCCCACCTGCGGGGCCGCGCTCGGTGCAGGGTGGGGCAGCCCCGGGACCCGCAGGGAGCCCGGCGACACGGCACGTCCCGCCTGCGGCCGGCGCCGGACTGCGGCCCCTGCACTGGCCCGTCCGCCCCCGGGCGGCCCCGCGCCTCTCACGACACCACCCACCCATCCACCTCCTAGTCCGACCCGACCCTCCGCGGGCCGCCGGCATGTCCCGCCCCCGCCTCTCCGCCCCACCCCTGCCCCCGTCTTTACCTGGGTCGGGACGCCTGGATCGAGGCCCTTGTTTGTCCTTTTTTTACTTTTTTTTTAACGCTTCCCCGGTAATGCCGGTAGCGCTGGAACCCAGGTAGGACGGGGACAACTCCCGTACGACTCAAGGCAACAAAGGGCTTTTTCGCGGTTCCCCGTCAGGAGGAGACAACACCCGCAGGGCATAGCCCCAGATGGCCACGCACCCACCGGAGCTGGTGGCCGGGTGCCACCTCGGGGCAAGGGGGAAAGCCACCACGAAGAATCACAGGTTCACAGAATCACTGAGGCTGGAAAAGACCTCCAAGATCATTGAGTCCAACCTTTGACCAAACACCATCATGTCAACTAAACCAGAGCACTGAGTGCCACGTCCAGTAGTTCCTTGAACACCTCCAGGGATGGTCACTCCACCACCTCCCTGGGCAGCCCGTTCCAATGCCTGACTACCTTTTCAGCGAAGAAATTCCTCCTGATGTCCAACCTGAAGTCCCCAAGAGCTCAATGCTACTTATCACTGCTCTCTAATCCCAGCAGTCCAACCATTTATGCGCTGAGTGGGCTCGGCGTTTGTGAGCGGGGGGACCCAGCGGGGCTAGTGCTCCCCAGCCTACTCGGAGCTGGCCTTTTGCACACAATTGATTCAAAGAAACTTCTGCCAATCTGAAAAGCACTTTTATTACGGCCGGGGAAATGCAAAAGGGGCAGGTGTTCTCCCCTAGAGCACTCCGCCGAGCCAAGAAATAACACAGCTTTTTATACAGTTTGAAAGTAGCAAGTTCAAAATTATCTTTACACACACTCTTTTTGCAGTCTGTCTTATCTAAATAGACATTTAGTTTTACCCTCTATTCTTACCATTATAGAGTAGTTACATAAAGTTTTATCATTTCAAGCAGTTTCAGGTTCCCCACCCCTCTCTACGTGCTAAAAAAAACTTTCCCTATTTTCTAAGCTATTTTATCTCAATTGCCCACAGTTTGGGCAGAAACTTTTAAGCAGTTTTACATTTTGCAAAGTCACACTTACATTGCTGAATAGCTAAATTTTATTTCATTTTCTATTTCAATTCCCTCCTTTTCTTTAAACTAATGCAAATTCTTTTGCATCACTTTTGTGCAGTCCAGAGCACGGGTACTTGTTGTGCTATAGTTCTTATTTTCCACTACATCCATAGATTGACAATTGTAAGGAGGAGAGCTGTCAGCATCAAAACCAAATCGGGTGAATCAGGAAGTTAAATAGCTGAGCTGCTGTGGGTGAATGTCTATTGATTAATCTCAAAAACCTGCTCCACCAATGATGTTCTCCAGTCTTTGTCACTTCTGTGATGATGTTTCTTATCTCTGTTGTGTCGTGTTTCACTTGCCACAGCATGCGACGTGAAGTAGCATTTACCTTTTCCATCATTTGTTCAATATCTGGATGATAGAGCATTTTCTGAAGGATATTAATATCTATGCCTATTTGTAGTTTAGGCACCTCATGATATAACATATATTTATCCGAGATCAATTGCATGGTGGTCACAGGAGCAGTGTATCTAAAGTCACATCTTATTACTTTAGTAAAATTGCAAACACAAAAGTTAGTATCATTAGTTAATTTTTTACAATTATCAATTGTTATACTTGTGCAAGGTGTCCTGATGCAGGCCCATCCCTTACTCACATAATACACTTGGGACTGTGCCTGTATATTTGGGAACATTTCAAACGTACACACACTGTCTTCTGTATCTAAACATAAATCCTCCTTCTCTATTACAGCATTTTCACACACATATCCTAGTTGTTCTTTAGGTATACAGGCCTTTGTGTTGTCAGTTTGTCACTTCCCCATGTCCTTGTCATATCTTGCCCAGACATTATGCCCTATAGGTCTAACTACAATGTCTCAGTGTATTGCTCCTAATGCTAAGACAGGAAATATGGTCTGTTCTTTTACCTCACGGATGGTAAGAACATATGCCTCTATCTGTTCCTGTTCTGTGTTATATGTGAAATTCACTAACTGCCACCATGCCTGATGTTCTTTTTCAAATTTACTTGTGGTGTCTTGCCTGGATATGATCTCTCTTATCTCTTGAGGTAAAATTCCTGAGGTTTTTTTTCTTATAATTCCTGATACAGATTGTATCCATTGCTGAGTTTGGATACACTGTATTGCTACTGAAACATCTTTTTTGTAATTTTTCAAAGACATTAGTCACAACTTGAAAGTCTTTAGATATGTGTTCAGTTAACAAGATCATCAAATTTGTAGTAAGAGATTCTGTTTCAGCTATAGTCATTAATGATGATCTGAGTGGTACTTCCAGCTTTCTCACATCAGAGGTTACATTGCTGAGTTTATTAATTAACATTTCTTGATCTATTGAATTTAATACTCCTAGTCCCGATCCAAACCACCCCATTAGATCTCTCTGGGCTCCAAGCATTCTATCTTTTAAGACTTTGGAGAATGAAGAGTTGGCAGACCTCTTTTATAGAGGATATATTTGTTTGTTCTCTAATGGTTGGCTTGAAAAAGTTTTAACATACACCCATTCCTCAGAGGAAATGTTATGTAAGGGTTGGTCTATTCTTCTTGAGCGAGTACTCATTACTTGTTTGTTAATTTTTGACAGTTGTTTACTTAATGAGATCAGGTATTCTCGTATATATCTTTCCCCAACCTGTATGAGATCTTCTCCTTGATAATAATTCCTATGGGGTCTTCTATATAACATTTCAAAAGGGCTCAGCCCTTCTTTAGTCTTAGGTTTGACCCTTATTTGCAATAAGGCCAGAGGTAAAGCTTGGTACCAATGTAGGTTTACTTCTTGACAGATTTTTGCCAATTGTTGTTTTATTAAATGATTCATTTTCTCCACCTGACCACTTGCCTGTGGTCGATATGGAGTGTGTAATTGCTAATTGATTTGCAGGATGTTGCTAATTCTTTGTACTATGCTAGCTACAAAATGTGGTCCTCTGTCCGAGGAGATGATGTCAGGTACTCCAAATCTGGGGATAATGTCATTAAGTAGTACCTTGACAACTTCTCGAGCCTTATTGCTTCAAGTCGGGAAAGCCTCTGGCCAATTTGAGAAAGTATCTGTCAAAACCAACAGGTATCTGTAACCTCCTTTCCTAGGCAACTCAGAGAAATCTATCTGCCAGTGTTGCCCTGGGAGATTACCTTTGCCAATTGTCTCTGTCTCGATTTTATTGGTTGTGTGAGGATTATTTTGAAGGCAGGTCTTGCATTGTTTAGTAACCTGGATTATTGTAGTGTATAAATTTCATCCTATTATTTGTCTCCTTAGGTATTTGTGTAGTGCATCTGCCCCCAATGAGTTTTGTTATGTTTTACCTGTACAACTTTCCATAGTACCTTTTCAGGTACCACTATTTGTCCTGTTTCTAAGTAGTACATGTTACCTTTGCGTTGAACTTGCTGATCTTTTATTAATTTTAAATTCTCCTTTGAATATGATACATTAGGGCTTACCTCTATGATTTTGCCATCAGGAATTAGGGAGGCAAGTTCTACCTGGCCGTTTTCTGCTGCCTTTTTTGCCTCTCGATCCGCCAATCGGTTGCCTTTTTCTTGGTCTGTATTCCCCTTTTGATGTCCTCTACAATGCATAATAGCAAGCTTTTTTTTGGTGACTGGACAGCTTCAAGTAATTTTCTGCGTGCTTTATCTGTTTTTTTGTTTTTGTTTTTTTTTTTTTGGGATGTGAGTAACTCTCTTTCTTTCCGCACTGCTCCATGAGCATGAACTACTCCGAAGGCATACTTTGAGTCCATCCAAATATTAATGTCCTTTCTTTTTCTTTCAATGCATAACCAGCTTTGTGGATTCCATCTTTCATATAGCTGCTTCCGTCGGTGAACCACATTTCTGCCTCGGGCAGTGGTGTATCTTTCTAGTCCGGTCAGCTGGAATATGTTGCTTCAATAGTTTCAATGCAATCATGATACACCGGTCCCTCTGTGGTTGTTGAACTTGATAAGAATGTTGCTGGATTTATGATGTTAGTGGTGACGATTTCAACATCATCTTGTTCTACTAGAGTGGCCTGGTATTTGAGAAACCCGGAGGGCGAGAGCCAGTGACTGCCTTTCTGTTCAAGCACTGCTGAAACCACGTGTGACACTAGAACAGTCATTTTCTGTCCCATTGTGAACTTTAAGGCTTCCTGTATGTTCAGTACTACTGCAGCTACGGCCCTCAGACCTCCTGGCCATCCTTTGCTCACTTCATCTAACTGTTTAGAGAAGTATGCCACTGCTCGGCAATATTGTCCGACCTGCTGGGCCAGGACCCCCAGTGCAATTCCCTGCCTTTCATGTGAAAAGAGCAAAAAAGGCTTAGTCACATCTGGGAGGCCCAGTGCAGGTGCCTGCATTAGTTCCTTCTTAAGCCGATGGAACTTGCTTAGCTTCTCCAGTCCATGTTAATTGTTGATCTCTATCTTGTAGAATCTGGTATAGAGGTTTGACTATTAGTCTATTTTTGTAGATCCAAAGCTTGCACCAGCCAGTCATTCTAAAAATGTGCAAAGTTCTTTTTGGAGTCTGGGGCAAAGGTATTTTACAGATGGCTTCTTTTCTTTCTGACCCATGTTGATGTTTTCTTCCTGAGATTTCTACATATTGCAAGAGGACTCCGCTGTCTGAAGGTGCAGTCTATTCTTCAAGATCTTTGGCAAGCTGATCTCCAAAAATTGTTGGATTATTTTATATCCTTGTGGGAGAACAGTCTATGTAAGCTGTGCTCATCTTCCTGTATCCGGGCTTTCTCATTCAAAGGCAAAAAAATTTTGATATTTTTTAGGGTCCAAAGGCAAGCAGAAAAAGGCATCTTTTAAATCTAAAACAGAAAACCAGACATATTCATTTTTTGTTTAGTTAGAAGTGTATATGGGTTAGCTACCACTGGGTGGAGCTTTTAATTCTTACCGGCCGTGTCCCAGGTTTTAATCTTACTGTTAAAAGTTGAGCATGTCTGGCCCTTCCTGGGGTCCCGTCAGCCAAAACCCCGGGTAGATTTGGTCATAGATTGCTGGTGGTACTTCTCCCGATATCTGTGGCTGGATTAGAGCAAGACTTAAAATTTCGATTAATTCATTTTCTTTTACTTTAATTTTGTATATCTCTATTGTTGAACCTAACTTCTGCATTCAATTTTTCTAATAGATCCCTTCCCAAAAGTGATTTAGGAGCATGAGGCATATAAAGGAATTTATGTATACTTAAAGTCTTACTTAATTTAAAACTTAGTGGTTTCATAACAGATACTTTTTCAACTTGATCAGTGGCTCTTATTACATTCAAAGATACATTGTCCATAATGCTTAACAGAGAATGTTGCTCCAGTATCTACTAAAAATTCTATTTTATGTTTATTTTTCCCCAGTTCCATTATAACCAAGGGATCCCTGGGGGCAAACTCCTCGGTCCCCGTTAATCCTGGTCCAATTCTGCCATTAAAATAGGTTTTTGCCTTTTTTTTTTTTTGAGGGCATTCTCTTTTCCCATGTCCATTTTCTTTACAAATTGCACATTGGTTTGGTCTCAATTTCTGATGGTCACTACTTCCAGGGTGCCGTCCAGGTCTCCTAGAGCGATGGTTTCTTTTATCCAGGGCGGCGATGGTTGCTTTTGTGACAGTTTTACCTAATTTCTGTCTTTCTACCCCAACTGGGTCATCTCTATATTTACAAGCAATATCCTTCCAATTTTCTAAATCTCCCATATAGAAATTGACTTTAAGTTTTATAGGCCTCTGCGGTCCTGCAGCCTCCCTTAAAGGGGCTTGTATAGTCCGCCTGGCCTCTGTGTGTTGGGAGACAGATTTTGCTCTCGTTTTACTGCATGTCCGCCTGCTCAGGGGAGATAAGTAAGGAATTTCCCTTCTTCCCCTTTCTCCGTCTCTTTCCCTCCCCTGTTGTCTTGAAGATGCGGACAATTTACTGTTTGGTCCTGAGTGGGGGGCAGGAGCCCCTCCTTCGGCTATTTCATTTGCCCTTTTTCCAAAGGGACTTACATAATCCTTAATTCTACTTTCTAACTCCTTGTTGGTATATTTCAAACATCTCTGTCCTATTGAACAGGCTGAACAACATCTTTTGAGTTCTCTTATACCTTGTTTTACATTCTCTTTCTCTAATGTTAGAACAAATGGGTCTCGTGGGGCTAAATTAATGCCACACTCCCTCTGCCATTCTGGGTGTTCCCTCAAGCAAAAGAACATATTAGCATAGACCACTTCGTTCCATCTTCCATGCCTTCGCAAAAACAACATTAACTGCAGTAAAATATTATAGTCTAATGATCCGTGCTTTGGCCACTTTGCTCCTTCCTCTAATTTATAGAGGGGCCACCATTCTGAACAATATTTGATTAGAGTTTTCTTGTTAGTAATCTCACCCTGAGATTCCCCAATTTCTTTCCAGTGCGTTAAAACACATCCTAATGGACTTTTATCAATCTTTTGTTTTCCTTGCCAGTTTCCCATTTTTAGCTTTTGCTTTGGCCTGTTTCTAGTCGTGCCCTTTGCACAGATGTAAACTCGTGGTTATCTGCAAATTTCAGTTATATACTTTCATCACACACACACCACACCAGTTTTGAGGCAGGAAAGTTCTGAGTCAGCCCTGTTAGCTTGTTCAAGTATCTCCTGTCTGTAGCAATCCTCAGTCTGGCAATAAGAACCCCCTTTCTTAGGTGTTTGCAAAATAGCCACGCTCCACACTTACTGATACAAGGTAACAATTTCACAATCTAAGTATTAATGAGGAAAGAACCACCTTTTATTCCTTTCCGCCTTATTTTACCTGCAGATTTTGTTACTCTCAGATACTGTATAAAACCATATCTAAACTTAACCATTCCAATGTTAAGATCTCTTAATGCCAGTCTTGCCCCTAACACGCCAAAATTGCCAACATTTAACACAGATTACAGGTATGAGGTGAAAAATTTTACAAATTGAGCAAAGATATGGGTTTGCACTTTCAGATGTTGTCAGCCCTGGAGTTTGTGGCATCTGCAAGCAGCCAGCAAATTTCCTGGCTTAATTCCTGCAAACAATGAGTGTTAAGGTTCCGCCTAAAACCATAAAACCACAAAACCACTATCTCCCGTAAACACACGAAGGTAGTCCTTTTGCCGTGATTAGGAGAAAAACCAGTAACATATATGAAAACAAATATAATTTCCCAATATTTGCTTACTTAACATACAACAGTAATTTCATGACATAAGAGACAATACTCACAGACAAAAGCAAACAATACAATTCAGCAAACACATGGAACACAGACAGCTGGTTTAAAACAAACCCAGATTTAATATATAACCAAACTTATAATAATCGCAATTCCAAAGCCAAGTCCCAAATCTAGCCACAGTGGTAAACCCAAAAACATCTGTCACAAAAACCCTATACCACCCTTTAATGGGACTGTTAACCCATATTCAGAAGGATGCAGCCCTTTGCCCAAAATTCCTCTTTTGGTATAGCTTTGGTGAGACTCTAACTCACAATCAAAGCCATATGCATCTAGGACTCGAACCTACTATTAAAAGGGTGTTGCTCTTGTTAGCTGCTAGCAAGCTCAGAGCCCTAAAAACCGGCGTACGACTTACGGTTTCCTTCCCAAAACCCTAGGGAAAAATAAAAGAGTGCTTTAAAATTTGTATACTTGTGTTTTTAGAATTTGTATACCTGTGCACAGGGTCTTCATCTACTCCCGTGGTGATCCAGCGGAGCCCGGGGAGCCTCACCGGAGTAACGTCCCGGGGCGCGCAGAGGGTCCCCGGTTCCGGAGGGTCCTCACCGGCGAGCAGAAATCTGTCCCATCTGGGGTGCCAAATTGATTCAAAGAAACTTCTGCCAATCTGAAAAGCACTTTTATTACGGCCGGGGAAATGCAAAAGGGGCAGGTGTTTTCCCCTAGAGCACTCCGCCGAGCCAAGAAATAACACAGCTTTTTATACAGTTTGAAAGTAGCAAGTTCAAAATTATCTTTACACACACTCTTTTTGCAGTCTGTCTTATCTAAATAGACATTTAGTTTTACCCTCTATTCTTACCATTATAGAGTAGTTACATAAAGTTTTATCATTTCAAGCAGTTTCAGGTTCCCCACCCCTCTCTACGTGCTAAAAAAAACTTTCCCTATTTTCTAAGCTATTTTATCTCAATTGCCCACAGTTTGGGCAGAAACTTTTAAGCAGTTTTACATTTTGCAAAGTCACACTTACATTGCTGAATAGCTAAATTTTATTTCATTTTCTATTTCACAATGTGGGTTTGAAGTGGGTCAGTGGGGGAGAATCAAGAGATGGAAGAGATGATGGGGTGGGAAGGCACCCGGCCTGGCTGGGAAGCTGTGCGTGAAACTTAACAGCGGTGAAGAGTAAAAACATGCCTGGACAGAGTCTGAAGAAGACTCTGATTTCTTGTTTGCTTTTTCCCATCAGATATCTGTCCGATGATACATACTCCACAGGATTTGGAGAGCTGTGAAACATAAAGGTGAAGCTTACAGACAAGCAGCTTCTTATTTTACCAAAGTACTTAAAAAGAAAACAGAAAATTAATTTCAAGGAAATAGGAAGTTCAATAAAAGTGTGTACCTCATTAAAAAATCCCAAGTGCTGCAGCCTGCAGCAGCTTGAACAGTGCTTGTAGATTCCCCTAAAATCCCTGCACATCAGCATTATCTGGAGTGCACCATGATTTGGCAGCTGGAGGCACATCTAATAGACTCTCCTGTCCTTACTTCATCCCAGCTGTGAGCTCCTACTGAAAGGTCTTACATCTGCACGGATCAAGAGGCTGGAAACTGACAAGAAAATGAGAAGATTGGGCTTCAAGGCTTTCACTAGGAAATAGCTGCCAGAAGAAGGGGGAATTGCCTCCATGTGTCACCACCTGGATCAGACAGCTTATTTTAGGAATGGACTGCATACCCTCAAATCTTCATAGTTAGTTGTCAAGAAAATTTTCACTGTATGTATACCCTGAGTGTAGAGAAGTAGCGTATAACTGCGTGCTGTTTTGGCAGTCGTCCCTTTTTCCTAACAGATCGGGGGGACGAAAGGGAGTCTTCTAGTGTGTCTGTTATTTATAGGGCTGAACTTCTGGTTCTTTGTGGAGCACCATGCCAAAAAAGCTTTTTGTCTCTAAACCCAGCAGAGGCTGGTAACAGGAGAGAGAAATCTGTGGGGAGGGGGCAAGATTTCCTGTTAGTTTTTCCCATGAAGAGTAATGTTTTATCATCAGTAATGATCTATGATTACAAGCAGTGACTGTATCCTGTTGGTCTTGCAAATTAGAAAAATAAAAGCATACATTTAAGTATTTGTTCTCTTGCTAAACCACCTGCAATGCATCGCAGAATTGCAACTGCAGTACAATTAAGTAACAGCAGAGCTGAACACTGAGTATTCTTAAGAGAGTGAATTGGGTAAACTTTGGGGGTAGATGTTTGCTCTCATGGTTTTCCATCCCCCCTGCGCTAATTACTTACACAGCTAAAGATGCAAAGAAGTGTGTGATGCAAAGTCATCAACCAGAGTTGATGAATATTTGTGCAGAAACAGAAAGTACCTCTAACAAGTACTTCCTGTGAGAGAAAAAAAAAGCATTAAAGTTATTACTGAATGTAGTTATTTCAGGTAGCTGAAATTAAGAAGTCTTTTATTCTCTAACTCTTGCACAGATAGAAAGTGAAGTTCTCCATAGACTGACATGATTACAGAGGTGGTGATCCTTGGCTGACCATGCTGGCAAAGACTCATTTGTTTATTGCAGCTTTGTAACATTTCAAGGACCATAAGTGTTTGACTTACGGTTCCTTTCATGGATAGTTTTTGTCAACTGATCCTGAAATAAAATGGATGAAGTGGGTTTGCACCTGGTTTTCACTCTTCTAACCTTGAGTCCGGAACATGAAGATGACAGAGTCCACAAGCTGCCCTTCCTGCTTTGTGACAGACCACTGACAGATGGGACTGTATGGCAGCTGTAAAGCAAAAGTGAAAAGGTTACGTCACTTACAATTTTGGAAGTACTGACAGAGAAATTAAAACAGTAGAAAAAGTGGAACTTAGGGACAAAATATAGACAAAAGTGAACAAAAAGCAAGTCACAAATAAAGGAAATTTAAAATACATAAATGATTTTGCTGTGAATTTTGATTGGTTGGAATGAAATCAGCTTGTACAGGAGTATTTCATAGATGTGGTAAGACCAAGAATCCAGTGCGAACAAGGCATACAAATAACATTGAGAAAGTTTCAAGAATAGTTTTTTGTGCATGGCTAAACTTACATAGTTACAGTGCAGGAGAATACAGCTTAAATATATTTCCACTAAGAGGACAGCTGTCTTTATGCTTTCTCCAAGTTGATCTCATTTGTAATTTGACAGCTGCCTTCAGGCTTTTAGGCTTTTTCTTGGAAAACATAAAGAATACAAAACATTTCTAAATACCTTAGATTTTTTTAATGCTATGTCAAAAAGTTTAAGCTGCAAAGAATTTTTTAAGCCTAATGTTTACTGCTAATTCTTGTTTCTTCTCAATTTTACCAGTTTTAAGGAAGTAAAAGTTTCCTTTTCCTGAAAGTAGCATGGTCTAGCATGTTGTAATGTTAACTGAGTTTTTGTGTCTTATAAATATCTGTTATAAATATCTATAAATATCTGTTTCTTGAGGACCACCGCCTCCCTAAGATCTTGCTTTATGGTGAACTTGCCACCGGCTGCCGCAAGAGAGGAGCCCCGAAAAGAAGATACAAGGACTCCCTGAAACAACATGTCAGCCTTGGCCATATTGATCACCATAACTGGTCTACTCTGGCCTCCAATCGGGAGGCCTGGAGACACACCATCTATAACGCTGCTGTCTCCTTCGAGAACGCACGCAGGATCACCCTTGAGGAGAAAAGGTAACGCAGAAAGAACCGTGTCTTGCAGAATATACCATCTAAGGAGTCTTTCTGCTGTGCCTTTTGCAATCGGATATGTCTGTCACGTATTGGCCTCATAAGCCACCAGCGTGCCTGTAGCAAATGTGGATAGAGCCTTCCCAAATCTTCGTTCGCAAAGCCTAGCCATGATGATGATGATGATCTGTTTCTTGTGGTAGTTCAGACCTAGCTTTAGGAATATGCAAGATCCTAATATATGTATAACCTCAGATAGACAGAGGATCTTAACCTCAGGTTTGAATCCTGCTAGGGCTTGAAGGTTTCTCACATAAAGAAACTGTGATCTTACTACATTAGCCTTCTCTAAGGAAAGATTTGCTACAATCCAGAAATTCGTATTATCTTTTCTGGAAACATACCTAGTAACATTTCCTTTTGTTGTAAATTTTAAGAGATGCTTTTGCCCTAGATTCCCCATACTTCTGGCTTTTTACCTGAATAGGGGAAAAAAGTGATCTTCAGTTTGCAGATGAACTGCTGAAAGCTGAGCCTCTACATAAGTCAGGGGTGGGGCCAGAGAAATGCAAACACCGTGTGCTGAAATAAAAGGTCCTAAGAAGATGATCACAGCCGCCAAAACCACTTTAACACAAAACATTGTCTGACAGAAGGAAGACACCTCAACCCATTTAAGAAAATAAGGAAAAATACATCTGAAGCACATTGTAGCATTCTTCTCTTTGGAACAAAGTGTCTTCTGGTATGAGTGAGTATTAATTTGTAGGGATGAGCATGGCTCATGCCTAAAGTTAATAAGGGAAGGTCATATTTTATTGCTCAGACCATGTGTAATATATATTAGAGATATTCTTTTATTTTAGCTGTTGCGTGTTTACACAGAATTGTCATGCTTTTTGAAAGACAATTTTTTCAGGTAAGTTTAAATAAATTTAGTATGAATGAACCGTGTCAGTACTGTATGATCAAGGACATCCTGGGACAAATTCTTTCCCGGACACTGGCTGGCAGTTAGTGCTAATTACAGAATTGAAAACTGTGTGGAGTGGATAGGAGCCTTGAGTTGACAAAATTAACTGTAAAACATATACTGAGTAAAGTAGGGGCCTCTCATTGTACCATTGTGGTGGGTTTGACCTTGACTTGCTGCCAGATGCCTACCCAGCTCTCTTGCTTTGCTTCCTTCATGGAACAGGGTGAGAAAATTAGAGGGAAAAGCTTATGGGTTGGAATAAAGACAAGGACATTACTTAGCAATTACCATCATGGTCAAAACAGACTCAACTTGGGAAAGATTAATTTACTGTCAATTAAAAATAGAGTGGAATGGTGAGAAAAAAAAACCAGACAAAACTATAACCACCTTCCCCTTAGATCCTCTGGTTTCTTCTCAGGCTCAACTTCACCCCTTCTTTTCTGACTTCTCCTACTTCTTCCTCCCTGAGTGGTGCAGGGGCATGAAGCAAGAGCATTGTGATCAGTTCATAACTGCTCCTCTCTGCCACTCCTTCATCCTGATGCTGTTCCTTTCCATGTCCCTGTAAGGGATATAGTCCTTCACAAACTGCTGCACTGTGGGTCATTTCCACAGGGTTCTGTCCTTCAGGACAGACTGCTCCAGTATGGCTTCCTGCCCTGGGTAACTACTCCTGCCAGGAGCTTGCATGGCCTATCCACTGCCTGCAGCTTCCTTCAAAACGCATCCACCTGCTCCAGAATGGGATCTTCCATTGGCTGTGTGTGGATATCTGTTGAACAGTGGTCATCCATGGGGTGCAGCGAGACAACCTGCTCCACTGTGTTCTTCTCCAGAGGGCTGCAGGGAATCTCTGCTCCAGCATCTGGAGCACCTCCTCCCCTTCTTTCTCCACTGGCATTGGTGTCTGCAGGGCTATTTCTTCAGTTTTTCTCACTCTTCTCTCTCACAGCTGCTATACAGTGGTTGTTACACTTTTTAAAATACGTTATCACAGAGGTGCCACCAGTATCATTGACAGGCTCAGCTTTGGCCAGCAGTGGGTCCATCTTGGAGCTGTCTGGAACCAGCTGTGTCCTGTATAAGGCTTCCCCCTGCACCCACCACCTCACCCCACCGACTTTGCCAAGTAAACCGAATCAAACCGATTATGTTATTTTTTGTTACTCTGATCCAGCTAAAAAGTGTGACTTGCTGATTGCACTGAAAATGTGAGAAGCAAGCCTGGCGTTAACATTTCTGCTGGAGGAATGAATGTCCCCTTCCGCTGGCTGCTTTGGCAAAAGTGGTGAGAAATCAGCCTGGTGTAGCCTGGCAAAGCCAGTACTTTGACCATAAGGAGAATCAGTTGAAGTCCTCCCAAGATACTAAAAAAAGACACAAACTTGAAGCTTTCTAACTATTTCAAATTTTATTTATGAAAAGTATCAATTGTCTTAGAAATTCCCTTTTCCCAAACTAATAATAAATCAATACCAATATTATGTATACAAATGTAAATAAATACATACATACATACATGTATACATACATACATGGAGATGTATGTCTATGTATACACCAGGAATTATGAACTAATGTTTGAGTCAGTTTCATTTGTCCTCTACACTTCTGAGACATTTCATGAATTTCGGAGCCTGGTCTCATAATTGCTTAAAAGGTGATCAAACTGCTGAAAGGACTGCAGACTGTGTATCTGCAATGCTCTGCTCAAGCCCTTCCTATGATTGTCTGTTAACTGTTTCATAACTCAGCTTTCCCAGTAAAGTTTGTTTCATTTCTCCTTTTCTTTGTTGAAGGTGGTCTGTTATTACAGCTGCTGGTGGGTTGATCCTGGCTGGATGCCAGGTGCCCACCAGAGCAGCTCCATCAGTCCCCTTCCTCAGCGGGACAGGGGAGAGAAAAAAAAATATAACAAAAAGCTTGTGGGTCAAGGTAAGGGCAGGGGGATGTCACTCAGCAATTACTGTCACAGGCAAAACAGACCCAACTTGAGGAAACAAGTTTATTACCAATCTCAAGGAGAAATAAAACTAAATCATAAAAACACCTTTAGTCCCACCTCTCCCTTTTTCCCAGGATCAGCTTCACTCCTGATTTTCTCTGCCTCCTCTCCACAAGTGCCACATGGGGATGGGTAATGTGGGCTGTGTTCAGTTCATCATGTGTTGTTTCTGCCATTCCTTCCTTCTCAAGGGGAGGACTCCTCACACTCTTCTCTGCTCCAGTGGGGGTCCCTGCCATGGTCCCTGCCATGAACTTCTCCAGTTTGGGTCCTTCCCACAGTCAGCAGTCCTTCACAAACTGCTCCAGTATGCGTCCCTTCCACAGGATGCAGTCCTTCAGGAAAAGACTGCTCCAGCATGGGTCACTGTGGGGTCACAAGTTCTGCCAGCAAACCTGCTCCAGAGTGGGTGCCTTTCCATGGGGCCACAGCCTTCTTCAGGCATCCACCTGCTCTGACATTGGGTCCTCCATAGACTGCACCATAGCCCTCCATGGGTTTACAAGGGCACAGCTGCCTCACCATGGTCTGTACCAGGGCTGCAGGGGAACCTCCGCTCCGGTGCCTGGAGCACCTCCTCTCCCTCCTTCTCCACTGACCTTGGTGTCCGCAGGGCTGTTTCTCTCACATACTCTTACTCCTCTCTCTGACTGCAATTGCTCTGTACAGCAACTTTTCCTCTTCTCAAATATGCTATCCCACAGGCACCATCTCTGTCAATGATGGACTCAGCCTTGGCCAGCAATGGGTCCATCTTGGAGCTGCTGGCACTGGCTCTGTCAGACATGGGGGAAGGTTCTAGCAGTTTCTCACAAAAAACACTCCTGCAGCCGCCCTGTTACCAAAACCTTGCCATGCAAAGTCAATACAAGCTGTGAGAACAATTCCACAATAAACTGGTTTATATTCTCTTGTGCTCATGTTTTGCTAGTTAAACATCTATTTTCTTTCCACTATGAAGGGTAAACTCATGTGATCCTATATCACACGAGCAGCACCTTTGATTAAGTTATAATATTTTTACAATGACAGTATTTTGTTGCTAGTTCTTATACAAACTGCTAGTCTGGTGCTAAGCTTCCTATATGCATTTT